TTTTTATCAATTATGACTTTATTAAATATTATTAATAACTATTATACAATAATTTTTATTTTTATTTTTATTTGAGTATTTATATATATTTTTATTTATTTATAATTTTTAATTATATTTTTTAATTACAAAATATTAATTATGACGTTACCGTTCGACCGCTTTGACCCGACGGTTGAACCGATGACCCGTCCACCCAATCCCTTTCCCGATTTACTCACCAATCCAATTTTCAAAACATTGAGCAGGAGCAGCACCAAGCTCATGGAAAAGGAAGACGCTCATCTTCACAACAACAGTTGGGATGTGATGACCCATGTTCCCAAAATGTTTTCTGATAATAAAATCTGAAATTCACCGCATTTCCTTGTATGACACTGCTATCCTAAATTAACATTTGAAATTAACCGCAACACCAAAACCAAGAATACTAAGCAGAATCTGTTGATGAACACGACTCAAAAGCCCGAGAAAATTAACTCTTTTCATCATAACAAGTAACTGTATATATGCAGACATCATGGTAGTTACCAAAAAGGGGAAGAAAGTAGAGCTTCTCTCTCTAGATTCTAGAGAGAGAAAGCTCCCCCGAGTGAAAATGGTGTTATTTTCCGGTTATCTTCCTCACCCATGAGGCAGAAAGTGTTCTGAGTGAGTTAAATAAGGCTAGATCTTGACTACCAGTCCGGTTTTCTTAGATTCTGGCTGGTTTTGTTATTTATTGAGTGGTTTTGGTGTGTTCAGGTGCTGCTCCAGTGCACCATCAGTTTGGCCGATAGGTTTCAAACTATGGCTGTTGTGGTCTTGTATAACCCGTGGGTTGGTGTTCTGCGGGTGTGTATTCTGGGTTTGATGAGCTCCGGATGTGGGTGGCAGCATGGCTGGTTTGTTCTGAAGATTCAGTATGTTTTGTGTCGCTGGTTGGGTTGTGTCGCCGGCGATGCTAGGTTTGGTTAATCGACAGCTTCAAGCCTCATCAATGGCAGCAAAGTCCTCTGGCGTTGTGGTTTGAGCTTGTGATGGTGCAGGTTTTCTGTGGTACAGAGTGTGCGTCACTCAAGTAGCTCTGCCATGGTCGCTGTCAATGATTTTGTTGCCGGTGGTGAACAGTGTTTTGTGCTTCATGAAGGTGGTCTTGCCGTTTCATGGCGGTCGGTTCATAGTTCCATCGTGGTGCTTGTGGGTTCAGGAGTTTTTGGTTCAGGAGTTTATGCTTGTGATATGGGTGGATGAATCCGGTGTGGGTAGCACCAGTACTGGGTTTCTCGTGCCTCATCGCGGTGTGGGTTTTTTTTTTCGAGTTGTACGTGGATTTCGAACTTAAGCTACTCCGACAATGGTGTTTTTTAAATTCCGGCGCCGGTTACGATGTGTTGTCCGTGTTGCATGCTATCGGTCATGCAGTGTGGTGTTCTGCCCAAGACGATAGTAAGTGGGTTTATGGGGAAGACAAAAAGGGTGTTAGCATAGGCGTTAGTATCCTCTAGAGGAATATCTATAGAGTGAAGTGAGGGAGAGAGAGATACGTGTCATCCTCAGCCTTCTACGGATAGAAATTCAATCTTACTAAAATTAGAGGTGTAATTTGGGCAGGTCCAACTCAAGTTGTGTTGAGTCCTTCTCAAGTCCGAATTATAACTCGAGGTTATCTATCCAAGTCTGACCCAAGTTAAACTCGAATTGTCCGAGTTGCCTGAATTACCAGAGTTGTAAATGAATTTTATTTTTTTATTTTTTTTTACAGTTACATTATTAAATTATTAAAATTTGACTCTATTTATAATTTTTTTTATTTATAGAAAATCATTAATACCATCAAAATAAATAATTCATATAATGTAACTATTTATCCAAATACTATTAATTTTATAGAATGTCACGTCAACAACAAAGATGGAGGGAAATGATCCTAATGATTGAATACATTTTGCCTAGCGTTGAAGGCTAGCTACATGTAGCTAGTGAATATGAGTTGCGCCAAAATGCCTAATCATATACCTAGTGCATTGGAATTGAAAAAAATGAATCACAATAGGCATTTTAACTAACAAGTATTATATGCCTAGTGCATTGGAGATGCTCCGCTAGAGGAATATCTATAGAGTGAAGTGAGGGAGAGAGAGATACGTGTCCTCCTCAGCCTTCTAAGGGTTGAAATTCAATCTTACTAAAATTAGAGGTGCAATTCGGGCAGGTTCGGTCGAGTTGAGAGGTTGTTTGAGCCCAGCTCAAGTTGTGTTGAGCCCTGCCCAAGCCCGAATTGTAACCCGAGGTTATCTATCCAAGTCCGACCTGAGTTAAACTCGAATTGTCCGAGTTGCCCGAATTACCCGAGTTGTAAATGAATTTTATTTTTTTATTTTTTTTGCAGCTACATTATTAAATTATTAAAATTTAGCTCTATTTATAATTTTTTTTATTTATAGAAAATCATTAATATCATCAAAATAAATAATTTATATAATGTAAGAGAGATGCCACTATAGTAGTCCTTACAATTTATGAGTGAAAATAAAAAGAAAAAAAAAAAGTAAGATTTTATGTTATTTGTATATATAATATATATTCAATATGATTTAATGATATAAATTACTTTAATATCATGTAATAGTTAATAATTTATATGTATATTTAAAATTTTTATATGTCTATATATATATATAATTTGGGCTTCGGGTTGCTCGGGTTGTTTGACGTCTTTGTCCAAACTCACCCAAATTTAATTCGGGCTTCTGAATTTTTGTCGAAGCCCGTACCAAATTTGAAAATATTTTGTCCAAGCCCTAAAAAAATTCGGGCTGGGCTCGGGTTGCTCAGGTTGAGCCCGCCCAAGTTGCACCCCTAACTAAAACAATGTTGTTTTAATGGGTAAATTGAAAAAAAAAAACAAAAAAAAAAACAAAACAAAACAAAACAAAACAAAATTCAAATTTTCATTGTTCTGGATTTCTTTCTTTTCATCATTCCCTGGGAGAGTTGTGAGAGAAGGGCTGAGAATAAAACGAATGGGTGATGAGAATTTCAAAGAAAAAACATAGATAATGGAAAGAAATTGCAAGAAAATCAAATTCAGAGGAAATGGGTAAGAAAGAACCCACCTAAAGATTCCAAGTAATTCACAAAAAAAAAATTAATAATAAAAATTACACAATAACGCCAAAACGCTCCAAGAACCCAATAATCAACAATCGAAAAAGCAAATTATGAAGAGAAATCTTCCAAAAAATCCAAAATCAAACAATCATATACAAACACATACCCATCAAGATTTCATTTCCAAAATCTAACATAAAAACCCAAAATCAAGCAATCATAAAACATAAACAAATACATATATACCTATAAAGATTACATTTTCCCGAATCAAACATAAAAACCCACAATCAAACAACATATACCCAATTGGATAAACATTTCCAGTAATAGGGAAGACCACAGAAGACCTAATTCCATAGGAGGCCTTCGATTTTGTCTGCTTGGAAGCTCCAAAAGATCCTTGAAACGTTGTGAAAAAGACCACAAGAAACGATGAACAGAATTCGGCGGAGGAGATCGGCCATGGAGATCGGTCATGCCGGCGACGGGGGGAGGAGATCGGCCACCGGAGTTCGGCGGAGGAGATTGGCCATTCTCTTCTCTCAGTCCTTCTCTCACTAACTCTCGTAAGAATGATGAATAGAAACCTAAAACAAGGAAACTTTGAAATTTTTTTTTTTTTTTTTCAATTTACAGTCGTTTTGGTGAGGTTGAATCTCAGTCCTTCAAAGACTGAGTAGGACACGTATCTCTCTCCCTCTCTTCACTGTAGGAGATCACTCTAGGGATATTACTCTAGAGGATCCTAACGCGTTAGCATATATGTATCAAGCCCCACGTGGGAGTGTATCATGTAAAGGCTTGGTGGTGGTTTTCGGATGGGCCCACTAATATGTATTTGGTTGGTGGGCCTAAGGCATTTTTTTGTGCTGCGTCGTACCGTAGTGTTTTGATCTCAAGCTTCCCACCTACAATTTTTGGTGGTTGAAAATGAGCTGATATTGATGTTACTACATGGGGATCCTCATGTGAGCCATCTCCGCCAAGAGTGATTGAGGAGTCACTATTATGGAGAATAGTGGTTCAATGACTAGCAAGTTAGAGACTGGGAGATGAGCGGGAGGTTACTATCGGTTTTCTAGTTGCTTCTTGTCTTCATGTGACCCATCCTAATTGATTATACTGTCACGCCTGACATGGAGTGAAAGGCACACTGCCGTGGGGTTTGAGGCTTGTAATATACCAAGGTAGGGACTGGGGGATGTGATGATTGCTCTCATGCTATTTTTGGCTATGTATTGGTTTATTGTTGTGGGGCTATCGTTTTTCGCTACAACTCCCAAGACCGTTGCTTATGGTTACTAATCGTGCTAGCTTCATGTGACTCTGTCTGGGTTTCCCGTGGGGTAGATTTTTTTCCTCCGTCGTAGCTTTAGTTAGTGGCTAGGATGTCACGGCAGTGAGGAGTGGGATGCTTATTGGACTTCATATGTTTATCTGCGGTAGAAACTGGGTGCCAGTGGGGTTGGTTATCATTTGTTACTAGATTTGAGGGTTGTTGCTTTGTGTGTATATCTGGTGTGTTTTATTTTGCGTTGTGGTGTTTATTTGTATCTTTGCCCATATATCCACCCCAAGTTTCCATCTCTAATCTCTAATGGTAGGGGTTACTTAAGGACAAAAAAGATATATGAGCAAAGTTGGGTTATTTTGTTTTTCGGTTGTTCTTGTATTTACCCCCCTTTTTCTTAGGGGGGTGTGCAGTGGTAGCTTTGTTGGTTTTATAATTTTTTTTATTTATTGTTGGGCGTGCCTAAGATATGCCCCTTGTAAACATGTAAATTTCATTGTCTTTATTTTATTATTTACTCACCAAAAAAAAGTAACTGTATAACAATGGTAATGATTTTGTGTAGTAAACAACGCTCTAATTTACATTGCACAGGAAGGAAGGATACAAAAAAAAAAAAAAAGGAAAAAAAAAAAAAGGGAAGAAGAAGAAGAAGAAGAAGATGATTAGATGCACACAACAAAATCACCTAGTCATCTCCTGGGGGAATCGAAAATTGGGTTCATTTCAATTTTTGCACCTTCAAACTCCCTAAACCCCCTGAACTTCTCAGCTTCTCTTGCTATCTGAATATCATCAGCTCTATAGCATTGAACAAAAAATTTTACAACAAAACGAGGAATCAATGCTCCGATTGGGATGCCAAGCAAGCACAACCAAAACAATCCTGTTTGAGCAAGATGAACGATGGCCCTGCAAAATTAATTTTAAGAGTTGTACTTCAGACATAATCCTAGGTGGTGTCACTAACCAATAAAAATATGATTGAATATGTCATCCCTTCTACCCAATATTTACTCTACACTGTAATATCCTCTCCCTCTTTTTTGTTTTCTGTGGATTCTCTAATCTTATTTTTGAACAAGACATCGTACCCTAGAACTATGTATGGTGGAGATATTAATTAGGTGTGATGTTTGTTTGATCACTGATAATTTTTCTCGTTATTATGCATGACAAAATTTTTGTAAAATTGCAATTAGTTTCATGTTCCCAGAAAAGATTTATTTGCTTACATTTAATACCCATGTTTTGGAGTGTCTCTGTAAAGAACACAATAGAAAAAATTTCTGGAACCGCTATTGGACCTTAGTGGTAGCAAACCACCGCGTGTGTTGGTTAGGGATCACAACCCCACCTTTGTTTTGTAGATGCTGTAAAATTTGGATATAATAAACTCTTTAAAAAAAAAAAAAATCTTGGTACTTTGACCAATTTACTTTCTAGAAAAATTTAGTTTGAGCTAAGCTTCAAAGGACCCACACGGGTGGCCCTGTGGCTAAGGGTTTGAACATAGGAACTCCACTATGTGGTAAAAAGTCTCATATTTGACTCTCATGGGGCGCATAATACTCGACTTAACTGATATGGTTTGTGGGTGATTGTATGTATCTGGAGTTTATTTATAAGGCCAAACTGAAAGTGAGATCCATGGATATTAAATTGACTCTCTTCAGAAAAAGCTTTATGAGTTTTTCCAAGTGCTTCTCAACTGGGGACACAACCCTACACAGAAGTGCTAGTCTTTAGTGTTCAGTTTTTGGGTTCCTTCTTATTTTTCATCTTATATCAGGCTTTTTACATTTTTCTTTTATCAAACTGAAATAAAAAATTAGTTTGAGAGGAGCTTCCTAACAGAAAGGCCATAGTGCATGCAGCAACTAACATTCAAAGATATCAATAACAAATGTTAAAAATGTTGGCAATGCAAACTAACACAAAATTATTCTATGACGCAATTGTTGTGTGCAACTAAGGCACACAAGCAAGAAGGGTGAGCACAAATGCAAAGTCCATCATGCTATGAGATTCAATGATGTAGCATTCATTTTCCATGGGCAACAGAAGCATACAAGCAAGGAAGGCAAGTACAAGTGCACAAATATAAATAGGTATATTCAATATGTAAACAAAAAATTAGCAAAGAGAACTTACCAGTAACCAGGTAATACGGGTATAGCATCAATAACGAGGACACAAATAAAGGTTGCAACTATAGATCCCCAAACGGCTGTATGAGTAATCCAAGTCCACTGAATCACATCCATGGCCAAGTGTATATTAACCAGAATCACCACTGCAAGTGTCCAAAGATCTCCTAAGCTTGAGCCATCAATGGTGCTGTGCCAGTACACAATGAGGGGGAGAAAGAAGGCGGCTACACTTTGCCACAAAGTGTCCGCCATTGTTATCCAAAATAGTTTTGCATTATAGCTTTCCCCTCTCTGTCCAGCCCCATAAAGCTGAGGATACCTTATAAGAGTCATTCTACTTAGATCCTTGTCTAGGATTCCAACAAAGATTGTAGGAAATGAAGTATAAATTACTGAATACAAGCCGCTGCTCCACTCAGTAATTGCAGTTGTCAAAGTGAAACCAGTGAAAAGCGTATACCTACACCATACAATTAATTATACAATATCAGCTACATAGTTAAAGAGTGTTTTTGTATACAACCAGTGTTCGTACTAAACATGCATAATTTCCAGCCTCGTTCAATTAACTAATAGTTATTCAACATTCATCACTTTTAAATACTGGTTGTCAGCCAAATTTCTTGGCTCAAGGTAAAAGTATGTCATAGTCCAACCCCTTTTTTTTTTCCTCACCTAGAAGCCCCTGTATCAAATGTGGTTGCAACTATTATTTTTGCAACTAGCTTTAATATATTTTTGGTCAAGTTTAAACAAGGAAAATTAGGGAACAATCAGAAGAGGACCGAAAATAGAAAGAGAAATGCAGAATTTTACTAAAATAAATAGTTTTAATTTATATATGTACTTTCTTTTCAAAAAGAAAAACCCAATAAATATATTTATAGTATTACTCTCCTTTCATACTCCCCGACATGTTACAATTGAAGACTTAGTTAAAGGATCAGGCAAAGCCTTCAACCAAGGTCTGGATATTATGTCCTCAAATTTTGTCAGCTAAGCTGATTGACATTTTCACATCACAATAGTTCTAGTATAGATTTTTCTATCCGAACATACGTTACAAAAAAAATATTAAACTCACCAAAATAAGACAAGAACAAACACCGCATTCCTGTAAAAATTGTATAATATCATGTAGCCCATCCGCTGGTAATTCCAATGTCCATGAACCAATAAAAGGGGAACCAAGAATCTGAACTGGCCCATTGAAAAATCTGATGCCATGACAGCTTGCCGACCCGCTTGCCCACTGATACCAACGCCCACATCGGCCATTTGGATCATTGAAACATCATTGGTACCTGTGAACATTCAATCAAAACTTCTATTATCAGGTCAAAGTCCCAATAGATTAGATAAAATGCTTTTCATTATGAGATATCAATCTAATTAAGAATAATAATAAAGCAGAGAGAATAGCGAGGGAGGCATTTACCATCCCCTATGGCAAGAGTCATATCATTTGTCTTGTTCTTTACGAGGTCAACAATTCCAGCCTTTTGCAATGGAGCCACACGGCAACATAGCACAACAGAACATTTACTGGCTAATTGGAAGAGCTGTAAAATTGAGAAGAGTTCGTCAAGTCAGAATAGAGCTAGCGCAACATCTTGAGAGGAAGATAGAGGAGAAGATTGGTTAGATTACAAGTATTGACCTGGTCATCAAGTTCAGTCTCAAGGATATAAAAAAGACTTGTTCCATCAATGACCAATGCGAGTGAACTTGCACCAGCTCCAGAATTTCCTTCAGTGTTATTGTGCACAGCACCAGACACCGTCATGAACTTCTTAGACATAATCAATGCATCTTCTAAACTCTTTTTACATGATTCCTTGGAGTTGCTGTTAATAACAATCTGGGTCATCTTGCTTGTCAAAAGTCTAGAGGAGTAGCCAATGGAAATGGCAGTTTCTTGCTTGTCCCCAGTCAAAACCCAGACCTTAATACCTGCCACTCTTAGAGACTCTACAGCTTCTGGCACGCCTTTTTGCAGTTTATCTTCGATTCCAGAGGCACCCAATATAATCAGGGAGTTTTCTACATTGCTAGCAACCTTACGTAGTAAAGCTGCCCTTCCAATCAAAGCAGTGCTTGCCGTCTCATAAGAAGACTGCCATTGCTCTAATTCTGAAGAATTTAGTTCCCGCATTCCCACAACAAGGGTTCTCAAACCCACAGATGAATAAGAGTGAAGATGGGCTTCAGTTGCATGTATTACGTTCAAGTTCAAGGATTTGTCAATTACACTAAACATGGTTGTGTCGGCACCTTTTACAAAGACTTTTACGCTCTTGTCAGGGAAACCAAGTACAACCGACATCCTCTTCCCCGATCACTATCAAACTCATGCAAACCCAAAACATTAAACCTGCATTGCCCATAATGGGATAGCACCAAAAACAAGAGACAGTAAGGTTTACATGTCATGAAGAAAGAAAGGCAAATTAATCAACTATAACCATAAGCACCACTGCCACAACTGATTGTCATATAACTTTAAACCTTTGTCCTTGCTACTACACAAGAATCAGAAAAGCAAAGATTTAATATTTTTAAAATAAAGGAAAATTAAATCAAAAATAAAAATCTACCCTATCACCACCACCACACCCTCAAAAATCATGGGATTATCTTGCTATTATCACTGGAAATTTGCACGCAAATAGACAACAAGAAGCATACGTGTTTCTTTATTCTGGAAGAATAATATTTTTGGAAGTCAAACATGTGCTATAAAAAATGTAAAGAATTTCTTTTCAATAAAGAACCCATCTTCTTCCACTTCACAAATGGAAGCAGGAGAAGATTTCCGAAAATAACAGCCAATCTGTAACCAAGCCTCCATACCAATCATAACCAAGTGGTAGTACCTAATAGTAGCATAAGAATCACAGAGAGGCAAAAAAGGTCAGAAAGGTCGAAAAAACACTTCAAAATTACCTTTGTCTTTCTCCTTGAACATCTATAACTGTGTGGCCAGAGGTTCGTTCTATAAGCGTAAAACCATAAGCAGCAGCAGCATAAACCAATGCCTGTTCATCCGCAGATTCCCCTTGATAATCTATCAAACTCAGTGTAGGATCAGATGTCTCTACAATAAGAGGCACAATTGTGTTGCAAGCGGCCAATGTAAGGAAGAAATCATGAACATGTTTGCCTTCTATTGTATGCTTCCCGCTTTTGGATAGGTATAGAAGCTCTGGATCAACCTTCACCTTCATCTTCGGCCTCAGAACCTGCCCACCCACTGATACCAAAGACAGGAGACAGTGCATGAAACATTCAGCTCGTAAGAAAGACAACACATATTTTTCCCAGCAATCAAAAAACAAAAACGAAAAAATAATACCTTGAGCTATGTATCCAACTTGTTCCTCTTGGGAACTGGTTTTCCCACCGCTGTAATCTACACCCCAAATGCTTGCACATTCAAATTCCATCTTGTTCTCAGTCAAGGTACCAGTTTTGTCTGAGAATATGTATTTTACTTGTCCCAGATCTTCATTTATATTTGAGGCCCTGCACTGGAATCTTGAATCTGAGGCTTCATCATACATTTGGGAATCCCTGATCATGAAGTAAGCTTGACCAACACGGACAAGCTCCATAGAAATGTACAGTGAAATCGGGATCATGATCTGGAACAAAATAACTGACATGAGAAATGTAAAGAAAACCTCCATCCCCCATCCATAATAGTTATAGTCCGTCTCTTCGCCTGTAGAGAAATCTGCTTTCCTGAAAAAGGGCAAGTAATCCAGTTCATGCTTATGGCGCACTAACCAAACACTGGCACAAATGCAAACCACAGTACACAGAGTAACAAGAAAGACTAAGAGAAGAGTAATCTCCCAGTTCATACGGGTCTCAATTCGGCTCCTCTTAGACGGAGCTCTAGAGTTGTTGAGCATTGCTTTGGTCTCCCCGCCAGTATACACTGCAACCCCAAGTGCCCACGCAGTGTTCTTGATCTCACAGCCACGGAGAATAATATTAGATGGCCCAAGAGAAAACCGTTTCCCATCAATTTCCATGTTTGATCTCCCAGTTCATACGGGTCTCAATTCGGCTCCTCTTAGACGGAGCTCTAGAGTTGTTGAGCATTGCTTTGGTCTCCCCGCCAGTATACACTGCAACCCCAAGTGCCCACGCAGTGTTCTTGATCTCACAGCCACGGAGAATAATATTAGATGGTCCAAGAGAAACCCGTTTCCCATCAATTTCCATGTTTGCATGGAATCCATAGATGTTCCTGTTAGGTTTCTCACACTTGATCAACCCACTAATCTTTTCCTTCTCGGGAACTTTTGAAACGGTCTCTTGCTTTGCATACCGTGTCTTCAAGTTTGACTCCCCATCCAAATTAATGGTCTGGACATAAGCTACACTGGTTGGATCACTGGTTGAGAGCAGCACCATATCACAGGGAATAGTCTGATTTGCAACAATTTTGATGATTTCGCCTACCTGGATATCCTTCCACTTCTTCTCTTGAAACTGATCATTTACCAAAACTGTTGCTAATCGATTGTTCTCAATTCGGTCAGACCAGTGCCGCCTATAGTCCTCATCAGCATCCTTAACTGCAGTAACTAAGAGCACAAAGGCTAATGGCAAGATTGAAGGTGCTCGACCAAAGACTGCAAGCTGTGGAAGCTGACTGAGAACAGCAATCACAAGGAAATATATGTATGCAACTCTATGAAACTGTTCAAAGAGATTGCGTGGCAAGAAGGTTAAGGCGGAATATTTCGCAGTCCTAACCGAATTCCCAGCAAATTTAAACCTCTCATTCGTCTTCCCGGGATCATTTATATGAATTAGCCTTGCATCCTCATCATTAATCTCTTTCTGGGACACGCTAAGCGCTTCAGAATCAGCACCCCTTGACCCATGCCGCACATTTTTGGATCCCAAATCACAGAAACTCACCTCCCGGATAGAATTTCCGGCGGAAGCCCTGGACTGGATTGATGAACACATAAAACACTTGGAGTCCATCCCAGAAACAGGTTTGGACAGATCGGTGAACATGGGTGTGTAGGGCAAGTCTTGGGTGCCTGGGTTCTAGCCTCTAGGGGAAGGGATCAAAAGGGGCCGGTTTGACCAGCAGCACAGAATCAATTTTAACAAAATTCATACAAAACCCAGATTCTGATCTCAACTAAAATTCACAACAATAGCAACACAGCCATTGTTTGGGAAGTGGGTTTCGATTAAAAAAATCAAAAAAAACTAATCCACCTCTCGCCTCAAACCAAGCCACAGACATACAGAGCTAGAACCCAAAAAAATTTTAAAATATAGTAAAAGCACAAAAGGGGGGAAAGTTGTGCCCAGTGTTTTAGGATAAATGTTTGTTTATACAAATGTTTGTTTATGTTGGAAAAATGGTTTAATATAGACATATTTTTGAGCTCAAATTAGAGTGGGTCCCCAAATGTTGTTTGGGGTGGTCCGAAGAGGTGAAGACAGAACGTCAAAACCATTTATGAGTGAATAGGAAGTTGACGTCGTTTTTTCGAGTCTAACAGTAATTTTTTAGATAAAATTCATTTGAATTTTTTTAATAAAAAATTATTGTGTGAATTTAATTTAATTCTAAATTCAAATTTTGGATTCCTAAGTAGTTTCCTAAAGTTTATAATTATGGGAATTTAATTTAATTCTAAATTCAAATTTTAATTATCTAAAATTTGTACCTTCTCCTTTATTAATTAAACTATTCAAATAGTTTAAAACAGTTAGTAAAAGTTGGTTAATAAAACTATTTAAGTAGTTTTATAATTATATATTTCCAATTGTTTGAAATCTGTTCCATCCAACGGAACTTTGTTCAAATTTTATTTCGGTTCGATAAATAAATCTGGTATGTTATTTATCTGTTTTGTTTGAATTTATTTCAAGTTATTTTATTTACACAGAAGATTGTTCCAACAATCTTAAGACAGATTCGAATTATTCTGTTTACAGAATTTTTCGTTTGTTTTCCTTTTTCATTCTTCGTAAATAATTTCGGAAGAAAATTATTTTCTGTGGATTTACAAAATAATATTCTGGTTGGAAAAACAAATAGTGATTATATGCTATTTGACAGATAGTAGTAATATACTGTCTCTTTTCTTTGACAACAACTAGTAGTACGATACTGGTGTCATTAACAATTCAGAATATATTTTTGTGAAATTTTTTCAGAAATTAATTTTGAGTTTTAGAAATTGTTTTCTGAGTTTTCATTACTTAAAATTCTGTTTCAGTATTTTAATTATTGAAGTGTTACTGAAATTAATTTTCTTGTGGAGAATTAATTTGGTTAAATAACATTTTATTTTGTTTCCAAATTAATTGAAAAAATAAAAGTTATAGTTTTTATTTCTTTTATTTTTACAGAATTTAATTTCTTGTGTGGAATTATTTTGGTTAAATAAAATTTTAGTTTATTTCCAAATTAATTGAAAAATAAAAGTTACATTCTTGTTTCTTTTATTTTTACAGAATTTAATTTTGTGAATTTGGTTTAATTTTCTGTGTAGTATAAATTCTAATTATAATTTTGTTTTATATATAGGAGTAAAGTGATACTTCTCAATAATTTAAGAACTATATTTTTACGCTTTTATAATTAAAGGGATTAAAATAATACTTCTTAATAATTTAAGAGTCATTGTGTAAATAATTTTAATTTTTATTTCATAAGAGGATATTCTTAAGTTTTTTTGTTGACTAAAGTTTTGAACATTAAATTTCAAATTTTAATAGCAAGTGGATGATTTTTTTTTTTAAATAATAAAAAATCATCATATTTGGTTTGAATGTTTAGAGCTTCCAGAATCATTCTTGATTAAATGTACATGGAGGTGTTTGGAAAGTTAGGGGTTGTTTGGATGATTTACATAAGTGTATCTTTTAACTTTTTATGAAATATGGATTGAGTTTGGATTGGATTTGAAGTGATATATTAAAGAGGTGATGTGACTTAAATAGAATAGTGACTTTTTGACTTTTTTAAGGGATGCCAAACCTAACCTTAGTTTAGGGGTGAAAATAGCCCCCAAATCGACAAAAAGTCAATCCAGTCAATTTGAGGGTTAAAGACATTGCAGACTGATGAGGATAGGGAGCTTTTATTTGCACATCTCTATTCCATTCTTTGTACATATTTAATGATAATTATTTTTATTACAATTTTATCCCTAAGCGAAATTACTATTATGGACATCACACATAATTCAAATAAACACAATTCCTCAATCCACATCCATACTCATGTTGAAACTGTTAAAGCTCCATAAGTCCATTATAGCTACTATATTCTTTCATACTCAGTTTTCTAAACCTCCACATTTCTTCCTCATCCTTTGAAACCCTTCATTGTTAGCTTCCATTCATTAGTTTACACACTAAACATTAATTTACACACTAAATCTCATCCTCATTCATCATTGTTATGGAAGACTTCACTTTTAAAAATTCAAATTTCCAGAAGCAGATAAATGTTTATGAGAAAGACAGTCAAGCTTTCATACTCAGTTTTCTAAACCTCCACATTTCTTCCTCATCCTTTGAAACCCTTCATTGTTAGCTTCCATTCATTAGTTTACACACTAAACATTAATTTACACACTAAATCTCATCCTCATTCATCATTGTTATGGAAGATTTCACTTCTGAAAATTCAGATTTCTAGAAGCAGATAAATGTTTATGAGAAAGACAGTCAAGGAAAGGTGAGTTTTGCTATGTAAAAGTCGTTTTTTTTTTTTGTTTTTTTCCAGCGTCTTTTGAAAAACCACAGTCGAAATGTATCAATTTATACAATAGTCTACTACCGAAATAATTATTTAATTTCAGAAGTCGTCGTCCGAAATAATGTAAAGTGTTCAACATTCAACTTCCGAATCGGTAAAAATAATTTGGACAACTACATTCGAACAATAGCATTTATTTTGACACTGTACTTCCGAATGAAGTAAAAAAAAAATTCATTTTATATTCCAAATTCATAAATTGCATACTAAATTTGCAGTTTCAAATTACAAATTTGTCTTTATAATGCCATTTGAAAGTTGTAATGTTATACAAAACATGCAGGAATATGTCTCAATTCAAGAAAGTCAGGTTTGAGTGGATAGTATGTTGGATTACACTACTCAATTCATTTACAATGTCATCGACCATTATTACCATTCCACTCTAATAACAAAATATCATTTACAATGTCATCGACCATTGTTACCATTCTATTCTAATTACAATGTCATCGACCATTGTTACCATTCCATTCTAATAACAAAATATCTTTTACAATGTCATCGACCATTGTTACCATTCCCTTCTAATAACAAAATATCTTTTATAATGTCATTAAAAGATGTGTACAGCAATGTCAGCTTACAAAAACACCACAAAATGATCATCAACTGACAAATAACATGTCACGAATCATCTGTATGCCTACGACTAGGCCTATGACTGTATGTCAATGTTAGAGATGAAAAGCGACATGACTATTGAAACTTCGCAGTATTGATGGATCAGTCAATCCACCTGGAAAAGCGTGAGTAAGGTCCTCTTCCTGGACAGTAGGAGAATCGGGTAAAGGGGCACGCTCCACGGCAATGTCAAGCATATCATCATCTTCAACTCGTCTTTAGCTTTGGCTCCGACTTTGACTGGGACTGAGGATATCATATTCTATCGAAACTGGATCATGACCTCGACCACGACCTTGATCCCGACCTCATCCTCACCCACGCCCTCGTCCTCATTCATGGTCAACATCCAATTCACGACGTCGTCTATTTGAAGCAGTAGGTGGGACACGTTGTTGACATTCAGAACCCATATTATCTACAAAAATTAATATATTTAATGAGTATACAATTGTAAAAAGAATATACAAAACAGGGGGAAAAAAAACAAAACCGTTCGGAAGTTGAAAATTGCAAATATCTATTCTATTCGGAAGTTGAAAATCGAAAAACCAAATTCATTTCGAAAGTTGAATGTTGTCCAAATTAAACATATTCGAAAGTTAAATGTCGAAAGAATGAAAAAATTTCAGAATTCTACCGTTGAAATAATTGATAATTTTTGGAATGCTACTTCTGAACAAGTTGTTTATTTTCGGAAAAACTAGTTCCGAATGAGGAAACAGATTGCTCATTTCGGTGGGCTATGCATTTGTTCATTTCGAAAATGGTAAAAACAAACCCTACATTACAAATGAAATAGGAATGAGGATTGAAATAAATAAACTAACCTAAGTTCTCCAAATGTGAAGAATCCTTCAATGGTTCATTGAGATGTCTTCAATGCTTCAATGAGATGTCTTCAATGGATAGATGCAGCTTTTGAGATGGACGTGTGTGAGAGAAGGGGCTAACAGTGGAATGGGTGTGTGCAAAACCGTTCGGAGAGATGGGTTTAGGGGTCTGGGTATGTGTGTGTATGCATGAGGGTAGATGTGGAATAAAAGGTGTGTGCAGTGAGCAAAATAATTTGGGATTAATTTTTTAAGTATGTGTAGTGAGAAGGATGTGCAAATAGTGGAAAGGGTGTGTGCAAATAGAAGCTCCCGCATTGGATTTGTTTGAATAAGTTTTTCTTGGATATTCTGATATTTCAACCCCCCAAAGTTGCCCTGCATTCTAAATACATCCCCCAAAATTCTCTCACTAAGATATTATTTAAAGTAAAAAAAGGTTTTTCCATAAGATAAAAGTCTCAGATTTATTTAGCAAGTGTAGTTAAATCCCTGAAGGGCTGATTTTAAAGATTTTTTCAACAGTAAATATTAGTCAAAATGTTAATTAGTTATTAAAAAGGCAAAACAATAAAAAAAAATTATACAAAAAAGTTAAATATTTTATTCTCTCTATTTTTTACACATTTTTTATAAAAAGTTTAATTTTTTTCAATTTATATTTTAATTAAAAAGTCAAAAAATTATTAAAATAACTTATTCCCAAATCAATCTAGAAAAATTTATAAAAAGACCCTCATATCAAGAGGCAATTCAAGTGCACTTTGGTAATTGCACTTTAATGAGTGATTTACTATGGCCTACAAAATAAAAACAAAACATGACAAGTGAGTTTAGAGAAAAATTTAGTTGAGAAATGATAGGATTTCAAATAATGTTTGAGAGCCACAATTTGTGTGGCTCAAATGGCTCAAAACTGTCAAAACGACGTCGTTTTAGCATGTTTTGTGCTCAAAACGACGTCGTTTTGGCAAT